CATTGGAGGCCAGGAAGTCCGTCCTACTCCTTGCGGCCAGATTGAAGGTTGCATTCGAGGATCTTGGTGTTGACATTGTTGACATCAATCAAGGATTTCAAACCTGGCTCACATTTACTGCGTCTTCGTTGATTTCAAATGCATCGTTGGCGTATGGGGAGCATTTGATGAAATCTCTATCTCACATGGGAGGAGTCAGAATTTCGAAGAGGCAAGCTCTGGAAATTTTCCGGAACGGACGCGGCAAGCAATTCAGCATCTATCGCGAAAGAGTTTTTGATGAAGTCGCGAAGAAGTGGCTATTGATCTACAGAGTCACAAAGGATTGCGGAAATGTCGCATACAAAGACTTCTTCGAGAAGGTCGCCGTTCCCGAGGTGAAGGAGAGGAACGAGATCTTTGGATTCTCCCGTGCATCTGCCGAGAAAACTGGAGATATCATCGAATTCTGGCTTGGTGTCTTGGATGTGGCCAATATGGCCAAAGGAGTTGCTGATGTTTTCAATGCCAGTGTTGATCCAGCTGAGTATCTCAATGGATTGGAAAAGGCATTGGCTCAATTCACATCGACATCAAGAACATCAAGCACCATCAATGACAAGAGACGGGGATCCTTCGACTGCACACTGCAAACCGCAGAAGCCGAGAGGGTCATGAAGATCATCCACGCAATCCCCGGATATGACTCGCTGGCCAATTTCAGCTGCCTCACAGAATGGGAGAAGGATCAGGTATTCTCTCATTATCGCAGGAAGAACAACATCACAGGGGATGACGCCAGTATGGGCGCTGATGCCGATGCCAAGCCAGGTGACGAGTCTTCGGCTCACCCTGGGGAGGAGGAAGCTGATGAGCCAGCAAGCGATCCCACTGATGTGGTCAGGGACTCAGAGATGTCGGGGAGACAACAACTTTTGGATGCGTTGGGAAAACTCTTCACTGTCTCTGAGGATGTCAATGTGTGCTTGTATTGTGGTAGCACCAAACATGGCCATCTTGAATGTGAACATGAGAAGAGAGATGAAGTCAGAAAATTGCTAAAGGCCGTCCGAGCTTCGCTCGAGGCTGATAGTCCAACATCTGATGACGTCGATATGGAGCCTCCTGAGCACAAGAAGGACGGTTCAGGTGCTACTGAAGGGTCGGGGCAAACAGATGAACCTACAAAACCGAGGTTTAGTGAACACCAGTGGTATGACAGCATCAGAACTATGTCTGAAGTTGGTGACCTCGATGAGTATGGTAAATTCTGCATTGAAGGGCGTGATGTTACAAAGCTGGGACCACAGAACGTTATTGACCTTAACGAAGTGATCCGAGACGCTATCGTCAGAGGAGGAGGTGACACTTGGTCAGTGCCAGACTTCATGGCAAGCTACTCTGACAACAACATCAGGAAGACCTTCTACAAACGTGTCGAGGCGCCGCAAGATGGTTTCTTGAAAATCATCCCAACCACAGGGGCCCATTTCTTCAATTGCTCCTACTTTGGCGGCGTAGAATATGCGGCCAACTACCGCTTCGAAACTGGCAACCGACTCGACACCTACGAGGACAAGGTGAGTGCCTCACTGAACAGGATCCTACGGCACAATGTGGGGAAGGTATCAGAGCAGCAGAGTCTGCCCTGTGATGACGCCGGCTGGGTGCCCATCGAGGAAGTGCTCAAATGTGAGTCCATCTGGAGGCACGATTATGCACGCTGGCCACACGTATTCCTTGCCCCAAAGGGAAGAGCAAATGATCAGAGTGCATGGAATGTCAATGAGGCGAACTTTCGCATGACATTGCTCTTCAAGATCATGTTCCACTGTGCCAGGTATGGACGTCGTGTGCGTGAACAAGTTTTGGCATTTGGGATCAACAAGGATATTGATCGCCGCAGCCTGACGTGCATTGACAACAATGTCGATGCGGATACGCACATCCCTGATGAAGGTCTACTGCTCTATCCAGTGGCGGTTCGTGCTCCTACGGGGCACAAAGAAGGATCTTCAAGAGACGACGTTTCATTGCTGTCCTCGCTGCTTTCACATCCAATCGCACCCAACACTGTTTTGTCATTACCGGTTTGTTTCCACATCACCAAGAAGACCAACCTTCGAAGCATTTGGAGGCAAGGATTAATTCCAGGAGGTCTTGGAGAAGGTCATCGGATGTTCACGTTCTTCAACCCGTACGTCCCATGGGATCACAGATCATGGACCATCACGAAGAGCGTTGATACGCGTAAGGGTGACTACATATGCTTGTTCATCCCGACCGAGACCTTGATGGTGGAATATGGCGGTCGACTAACTGACTCGGGACAGATCGTCTCACCAAGGATCATCCCATTCTCAGCAATCAAAGGAGGATGGATTCAGGACCCCAAGGATCAGTACAACAAGACATGGCTCCGGTTGTTCGTCCCTTCGGGCGACGACCAGGTAGTCCGGTCTGGAACTATCAAATCAAGAACGGTAGCCACCAAGGAGTCCATCCTAAGAGTTGCAAGTCAGTGCATCGACGCCGAAGACCAACCGTTTGACGAGATTGCCATGGATGCCATGAACATCGTCAACCAATTCAAGAACAACCTCATCGAGCCTGGCGGACAAGAACAATACCTGGCCCGCATCAAGCTGATTGACTACATAGTCGAACGCAAAAGGGTGCAAACTTCAGGTTGCCGCCATTGTCCTCACTGTATCAACGAGACGCCGACAAAGCTAGCAGTGTGTCTAGTTTGCTGGACAGAACTCGAGAGTTGCGGGATTCGTCCATATCGGCTACAAGCTCCTGAAGACGATGAAGATGAGGCCACAAAGAAAGAGCTCGATGAAGAAGTTCGTCGACAAGAAGAATCATTGTTCAAGGATACGGTCAATCAAGCACAAGAAAACGTATCCGAATCCAATGACTATGGTTTCAATCCTGACGAGGTCGACTACAATGAAGGCGATGATGAGGAAATGGACCAGGAGGAGGAAGCTCAACAGGAAGAAGACGAAATCATTGAAGAAGACGATGATGAAATGGACGTCGAACCTGATGATGAGCCCTCTACCAAACTTCCAGCATGGACCAAGAATCTTGAGAGCGGCAGCAAGGGTATGCCAGAAGACGGTCTTATCAACAATGATGTCTCCGAGGCCGCGGCTCACTTGTATGACAATGCTGTCATGTCAAAGGTCATCACAATGTTCAGGCACTACTACAACCAGAGAGTCACTATGACCCCTGAGGAGTACCATGTGATGATGACGGAAACAAGGCGAGTCCGGCTGGACCTGGACGACTTCTGCCCCTACACAGGCGAAGACCCGGACGGCAACCTCAAGCGGCCGACAGAGCTGGAATTGGATGAACTCTTTCAGGAGAAAGGGAAAAGGAACTCATGGTCAGAGGGAGAGAAGATGTACTCAGGACGACCAAGAAACATGATGATGCCTGTCATCAAGAATTTGGAGATCTATGAAAAGATGATGGAATTTCTGGTCTGTGCCGGGTACACTCCCGAATCATTGGGTTTCCTCATGCCAATGAACCGAATGCAGGCCGATGCCTAAGGGAAACAGGAGATGCGAGTAACCATCAGCAACTTCCTTCGACGACTGCTCAAAGGAACCTTTCCGGAGCACGAGTCATACACCTTCTTTCGCTCCGGGAGCCACGGCTTCCCCAACTGCATCGAACTCCCAGCTTTCTCGGTATATCTGAGCCTGAGGGAGAAAGAACAGAGAGTAGAACTGCTCTTTGCCGCCCAACAATGTGGCATTCCTTTACCTCAAAACTTTGTCAGCAAGATGGCTTATGCTATTCAGCTGGCCGAGGCCGAGGCGCAGAGGGGAAAGACCGAGATGAAAACGAAGATGGCTCCAACCCTTGGCGACGAAGTGGTGAGTGAAGTATTCAAAGCAGTTGGACATACTGCAGCTTCCAAGTTTGCTAAACCACCTGCGCAACCTTCACAGACACCTGAAGGCACTGGTTCAGCATCATCCTCATCGGCTAGTGCACCAAAGGGCAAGGCTATGCCAAAATCCCATGAACCATCAAAGGCACCGCCTGCAAAGCCTTCATCGCCGAAAGCTGCTCCGAAACGTGCGGCAGGATGGGAGAGAACTCCAACAGCACCTCAATGGAAGAAAGTCCGCCGTGAGCAGTGAACTTATTACCTCTGTCCATCAAAATGGTCACTGGACTACAAGATGTGTATCGTCTTTGTAAACAGATGATCAGGAAAAGACCAACTGAGTGGACTCTGAGCGAGGCAGTAGACTAATTCGCTTAGGTTCAAGACCTTTTGATATTCCCAATCTGCACGAAAATTCTGCAATGTGAACGTGAATTCGTTGGTTAGCATCGTAAATCTTTGGTAGCGAAGTGACCCATTTCTCCCGACGGGTGAGTGGCAAGCTTAGACAACGTAGAAAAGTAGATGTTAGCTAGCAATAATTCGCGTTGTACAGCTTGATGAAGCGCCAATGCATCGACTGCCATAGAGTAGGCGAACCCTGAACCATTATTCCCTTCGGGTATGTGGGGAAGGGGGAGCCGAATGGCATGTTTTATGTACATAGGCGTAATTCGAGTAGCAGAACCAATCTAATTCAAAGTTCCCTCTCTCGTGTCCGTGGTTCGAAGAATACCACGGGCATGGGGGGTGTCAAAGGGAACTAAACACTAGGACACTTGGGATATACATACCTAACTGTATATCTGGACGCCGTACTGGCTCAAGTCCGTGTGCGAGGAAAAGGATCCGAGCTGCGCTTGCCATGCATCATCAGTGCCCGGCAATACTAGCATAACAGGTATCGCAATTGATAACTACATCCAGAACAAGGATTCATTTGTTCACATATATATACACTGTATATGTATATATATATAATATGCAGATGTAATAGTACATTTAGAATAGCTAGCGTATACAGATATATGTGTGTCGCTGGATGATTTGACGAACATTGTATATTTTTTTGGAGAGACGCCTTGGTTGCCTTGGCCCTGAGGTGCTGGATCGGCTATTATGGGGCTCCCCCCTGCGCCGACTCGTCCCTAAGACCAAGATGGCTGGGGATTTTTCAAAACCATGGACCAGTCACCCAGGTGGTTGGGTGACCAGTGACAACCCCACTTTCCACAATTGAAACTTTTTTTGAATCACGCAGCCAGGGGTAACTGTAGATGTTCCATTTTGTCAATGGGTCTTTCAGGACCCTAAAATGGAGGTACTGTATATGTGGTCGGTACCTCCAATGAAGTAAGGTACCTGAAATGGCCCTTGATTTTGGGGATATCACCGAATTTGTCCCTTCAATGGGCAGGATTACCACCAACTTGCGTGAATCCCATCCCACAACCTCCCATCTAGTCTTCAGAATACATATAGTCTACTTGTGTGATTTTTCTGGGATGACAAGGGCACTATAGACTATAGAGGCTTTTCACCGATTTTCAACCAATACACATTGGACATTTGGTCGCAAAATCTCACCGAACCCAGGGAAACCCCGGCGAACCGCAGTTTTCAGGTTTTTATTCCTGCACACGAACCGCCTGGTGAAAGTCAAAGACGGCCATACCTGGAAGGAGACCGATTTGCTCTCAGCACCTTGGACAAGGTGGACACAAAAAATGGGCTTTCCGTTGGTGAATGGTGGATTTCATCCCAATCAACTGTATAGTAAGCACCAAGAACCAGCTATGAAACACCATACTATTGGTTAGAGCTCCCTAGTGGCAACATGGATGTAGCATGATATAGCTACATATGAATTGTAATTGCACATATGAACCCGATCATATGAATTATATACTGTATTGGGCACTAACCAGGCCACAATTGTGCACAACAAGAGAATCCTACCAACTACTGTATACCCCCTTAAATTGTAAGCCGCTGGACGCCGCTTGGTTCCAAGGTCCCCATTCTTGGATGGTGAACTCCCAAATCACATTGAATCAGGGTTGCTCCAACCTGTTATAGATCAATTGTAGCTACAAGTTTTTTTTCCGTCATTTTGCATACCCAATTTACCCCCCAAACGTACCGGTGTTTGGAGCACCCCTTGTTGACTATCAAGTGAAGACTTCTTTTTGGTTGAATCATATGGATTACTGTGTCAAGTATGATCAAGTGGAATCAAGTGGAATCAAGTGGAAACAAGTGGAAACAAGTGGAATCAAGTGGAATCAAGTGGAAACAAGTGGAAACAAGTGGAAACAAGTGGAAACATGTCAACCAGCAAATTTACATCAATTCAGGCTGGATTTTTCATCACGACCTCAATCCGGTGGAGTCCCCAGGCCTGGAATGCCCATCCCATTCCCAAGTGGCCGCCACGGATGCCGCCCTGCGGTCCGGTCAATCCGGAAGGCGCGCCGGTGGTTTTTTGGAAGCAACCAACAAATGGATGTGGGTCAAAATGGAAGACCGATGTGGGACCACAGATGTTAGTCTAGTTTAGTATTAACCATCCAATTTAATTGGGGTACCTAATTTTGACCCATACCCAAATGGTCGTTTTCTTAAGATGAATATGATGAATAGACCTTGGCCAAAACTCGGAAACACGATGGGAATTGATAGAGGATTTTTTGAATCGATTCATCATGATGATTGATGTTACTGTAGATGATATCAGAGAACAATATAGATAACATAGATACAATCTTATATATATATATAATATCTTATACGAATCATAACGTATCATCATCACCAACCGCGGGTTGATACGATCACCCTTTGAGGGGTCCCGAAAAGTGGAAGAAAGTGGGCTGGGGCTGGGGCTGGGAAAATCACGGCTTGGACTATTTAAGGTACCTTTGAAATATCCCAGGATATATGGGTTATGTATCAATGTATCATTACTGGTTGGTGGTTTGGAAGATGAATTTTATGATTTTCCATATATTGGGAATAATCATCCCAACTGACTTTCATTTTTTTCAGAGGGATTGAAACCACCAACCAGATTATTTATTGATATTTACTGTATATATATTGGTTCATAGCATTAGATTATTGTCCTTGATATTTATTGAGTTGATGATAATTATCGAATATACATTATAAATTATGTCATGATATATGATTACTTGTCGCAAAAATTAACAATGGGGGGCACCTCTTTTCTATCAGTGGGAAAAGTCTAGGGGTATGTCGCAACGCCAGAAACCCACAAGTGTGTGGCTCCCATTTAGTGGAAATACCTATATAGTTGATTGCTGAATGTATTTGAATTTCATCTGGCTCCAGAGGACTATGAACCACAGGCTTTTCGCAGGCTGGACTGCTGCTAGAGATGTGCTCCAGAGATTTGTTCTGACCGATTTCGACTTCGCGGATGCACTGCAGATTTGGCGTCGTTTTGTCGAGCGATTTCGGCACCTGTAGGAAAACATGATGTCAGATGGCATGGATATGTTTTCAGAAGTTTGCAATGAGCAAAGGCACCGACCATTTGTATGCAGCAGAACGAATTCGTCTGGCTCCGTTTCGATTCAATCATTCTATGGACACCTGGATGGCAGCATCAGTAAAGAAAGGATCTACAGCCACGGACATTGACGTGAATTCTTATGCTCCCAGCACCGCATCGTCAGTCAGATGACTTCGCCTGACTAGCCCCAGCTTACCTTGCTTTGCTGGAGTGTATGATAATGATCGTCATAAGATGACGGGCAGTGTTTCCGCCGATGACGGGCAGTGTTTCATCTACTGCGATGGTGATGATGATGATGATGATGATGATGATGATGATGCCAATGCCAACTGACGCACTTTGGTCGGTGGTCTCAAACCTTTTTTCGTTTTCCCTCATCATTGTATATCATTGTATCTCTTGATAAGTATAATAACAAATAATCCCCCCCGTCATATCACCCGCCATGCGGGCTCCCAAATTATTGGATCCATTACTCAACCATGATTTCTAGGCGGGTATTTTGAATACTTGAGGGCTGGGGGAAAGGGATTTCTCAAAGTTTTACTTGGATGACCACCCAACGAATCGTAGTTCAGTAACCAGCTATAAGTTACTGTATAAGTTATAACCAAACGATGTACAAATCAGGGGCTGAGCGCGAAAAATGGGTTTAATATCCATAATCCATCATAATCTCAGCATCCAGTTTATGGGCAAATTTGCAGCAAACCCTGAGTTTGTAGGTAAAATCCAGGGTTTCCCATGGTTTCCCATGGTTTCCCTGTAGATTTTCTGATATTTTCCCGATTTGGTCCCCTACCCAACATCGCTGTCCATCGGCCAGCTGGCGATCCGACCAACATCGGAGATGCTTGGGCCCGGATGCCAAGGCGTTACCTCGGGTTACCCAATGAGAACCCAAAATTACGGCGGATTTTTTCACAGCAAAATTATATACAGGCAAAGACACCAAGAAAAGAACGGGATGTAGCCAACCAAATGTGATTTCATCCACCAAGCAGCATGGCCCACAACACAACAGATGGACTAGTCACTAGTCATTCTTTAGGATCTAAATCCTATATGGAATCATGGAGGTTACCCAAGGACTTGCGAATTGTTGTCACTTCATAACCTGATGTCGAACTTGTATAATATAGAATAATATCACGTACCACCTCGGGAAGTATTTGGGTTGTACAGTGCTGGTGAGTCTTGCTGGAATCATCTTGAATCACATGTGTTTTGGTGGTCAAAGAGTGATTGGACCCAATTGAAGGTGGTCAAACGTCTTTATCAATGCCAGGCATTGTGATCGAACAGTCTTCGATCGTTTTAGGGACATGGGACCCGCACTTGAAAACCTCTGCAACATTGCGGTAAGGTTCTGAACCAGGGTTCCAGCTTGAGACAGCTTCAATATCACCTCAACATGTGAAACCCCAGTTGGTTGTTCCAGTGGTTCATTTTTAGGCACTGCCACGGGGCAACACAATACCTCGCCTCCCAAAAAAGCAGGGTATCTAATGATCGAAGGATCACTGAACTCAGGTCCCAGTGCACATCCACGTGAACCCGGGCTTGGTGGGGCAGTGGGCACGGCAATGTACCCGTGAATACCGGCCGTACCCTGGAGAGATCTTGTGCAAGAAGCCGGAGGACCCAGTGGGTTTCAGGATGCTAAACTGGATTAATGTATATTAATGTATATTAATGTATAGATGTGGTAAAGCCAATAAAAACACATATATATATATAAATCATATAATCTACCTCCAGTGTTGTAGGATTTCTGCCTGTTTCTGGTGAGCTCGGGGATTTTATTTGTTGAGCCTCCGTTGAACTAGCCTTAACAGGGATGGACCATGGCTAGGCCCACCGTTGGCAAAAGGTCCACATTCCATGCTTTCCGTTTGGGGGGTATGTAACATATGTAACAAGGGATTAGTAGTGTGAAACGATGCAACCTCCAGCAGACATGGCTCATGATGCGGAAAGCATACCGGTGGAGGGCTTTGGGCTTCGGAAACATCTGTTTTTTGAGCGAAACCAACTTGATTTGGTCGTTTTCAGGGTCTGAAACCATATGTTTTTTTTTAGGTTGACATTGACAATTTCGACCCGTACCCTACAGATTCCGCATTGATTACAGGTGGATCATTCCTGTTATAAATGGTCGGCAACATAATTTCATCAAGTATCATGCTACCCTCATGCAGGAGGGTATTTTGGAGAATATCGGACGATTAGTCACAACAAATCAAACATCTCATATATGATATATCATCCAATAAGCATCCTCCAATGAAATATGCCTGGTATGCTCCTGTGGCAATCATCCATCCACGAACAGGAGGGTAGCCATCAGTTGATGACTCAAATACATCATTGGAGGGTTCATAGAGTTTTTCAGATGATTTCCATTTTTATAGGGGTTTAATACGGTTTAGACCATTTATGTTCCAATCTTTCTAAGTATGAAGTCCATTGAGGTTAGTAGTCAAGGATTGCCCAATCGAAATATGTGTTTCAATCTAAACCTATTTATTTTGCACTTCCAAGAATTGTATGGACCATTTGCAAGGTGATGCCCCCCCACTGATGTGTCTATAGTTTTGTTTAGCACTAACTATAGATATATCATGGATTATCATGATATATCTAGCATCACTGAGATATATCATAAGTTCTTAACTTGGACTTATTAACCTATCTATATATATATATAATACAAATATATCTCGTAAAGTTGGTCTATGTTGGTTTATACCCCCCCCAAAACCCTGGCCAGACCAACTTCACTAGCCTTCGAGGGGCCCTTTATAGCGCCAGGTATAAGATCGAACACGCGGTGGGCGCCGGACACTTCACACGCGCCTATCTGGCCACCGACATCGAGAGCAACACCAAGGTGGGGAAATTGGATGGATTTCATGGGATTTTTGGAGCAAAAAACGTCGATTTTGCCAGGAACTATTGAGGATTCAGCATAGTTTCACCTGCAAAAATGTAGGGACTTGGGTAGAAAACACTGTGATTTTGTCTTTGTTTTTTTTGGCAAGGGAAAGTCCTTTGTTTTTAGATCAATGAAGGGGGTGCTCTCACTAGTCCAAATTCAATCGTGCATTTTCTAATCGCTATGGGAGGGTGGCTACATGTCAAGAGAGGTTCTGGGTAAATTTTCAGTGGGTCAGTATCATTCACTTTCTTACATCTTATTACATCTTATTACATCTTAGTACATCATATTACATCATATTACATAATACATCATATTAACTTACATCATAACAATTCATAACAAATCCTATTGCTGCACATTTGGGGACATCTTTGCCCTGCAGTTGCGGTCACGGTCACTGACCTTTTTCCTTGGGCGCCGAAAAAGGTGGTCACTTGTCATCCCAGGTGTGTATCAAGCGACACGGTGGTCTCACAGTGGAACTGATGACCGAAGCTTGTCGCGGCGTCGCGGGTTCCGGTAGGAACTCACCGGTCGTTATAATGTGAAAAAATGGTATTAGTCTGGGTAAATTATAACGACCTCTCTACGACCTCACTGGAAATCATGGTTAGTAAGGGAAATCATCCCCAAATAGCCTTAATTCAGGTTAGTGAAATATTATAATTTACCCAGATTAATAGGATTTAACCATGAACAATGGTGGTTTAATGGTATTTAATCAACAAGAATGATGATTTTAATGGGATTTGTATATATCATGTGGGTAAAACAATGCCATAAACTACCCATGACTGGGAATGGTAAATATACCACCTATAAACATGGTGATCTGGGGGATGGTTTTATGATTGTTTTAACCACATTAAAAGGTTAGGTTGCCATTCTGGTATCTCAGATGGTTGCCGTTCTGACAATCTTAGATGTGGTCACTACAAATGTGATGCTCGTAGGATGCTATGTCCAAAGTTGTTATAACGAATAGTAGCCTCCATGGTCATCTCGAGTACAACAACGGCAAGAGGCTTCTCACTCTGCTACTCATTGATTCCCAACAAACTGGTAGTTTTAATGGAATATTATATATATATATATACATACCATATATCCCCACAAAAGGTAGCTTTTATTGTAAAGCAGCTTCCCAACCTCTGGTCTTCTCATGAGGCAGCACTAGATCCCAGTGGAATTCCTAGAGTTGGACTGCCAGAGGAAAATCACATATATATATAATATATATATATACATATAATATATATACATACATATACACGGTATATATATATACTGGTTGGTGGTTTGGAACATTTTTTATTTTCCATAATATATGGGATAATCCTTCCCATTGACTAATATTTTTCAAGATGGTTAAAACCACCAACCAGTATATATATATAACATCCAGTTGTATCCCCATGATATCCCCATGACATTTTCCAGTTGAACTGCCCGTAGCTTCATCCCTCGGCTGAAGGACTTGTTGACCATTAGCCGACGGATCGAATCGGTGGACCCCGAGTGCACCATCTTTTCGAGGCGAAGACGGAGGGACGCTGCGGATGCCCCGGTGGTGCCGGCCCTCCAGGGAGGGACCGTTTCAAAAACGACGAAGATGGCGGTGGGAAAATGGGAAAATCTCAATGGGACAGAAATGCAAGTTGCATCACGCTAGATTTTTTTTTTTTTAAACATTGCTCATACATAACTCATACGCCAATTGGAATGCAATTTGCCAATATGCACCTGTACACATTTGTGCGTATGAAAGATTATACATAGATCTCACGAGAGACGCTCGTAGGTTGATTGAGGCCTTCTTCGACATGGTGCCTGGGCTTTGCAAGAGCTGAGTATGTCATGCTTTACTGGGATACAATTGGGATATAATGGGATTTAATTTGGATACATAACCAACAACAGTATATTACCATCCATTACCCCCAGTTGTGGCCATTAACATAGGGAATATGACGATAAACCGCTGGGCACATCTGGTGATTCTTGGGTAAACCCTGATGTTTTTTTTTGCCATCAATGGGATGCCCATTAACCAGATAAGAAGCTCAAGAACTTATGTTTGCAGGACATCCAGCCATGTAGTCGAGTGGCCATGTTGCCTGCCCGGAACACAGAGAAAAGCCAGTAGAGATACAGTATCTAACCAGCAAAACTTTGGGGATAGCACCCAAAGTTGGCGAATCAACCGTATCTAATTGGTGTTTTTTTTTTGATAGTGTCAACCCTGGATTTACAAACCCCGAACGGCGGTTCTTTTTTGGGGGTTTACTTACAGATGGGTTTGTGTCGAAATGGGGGATACCGCGAAATTGTCAATTCTATGTTGAAAACGATCATTAACAACTATGATAATTTGGTCCGAGATTTTCACACAAACCAACGTCGTGTTTCCTTTTCCATCATTTTTGTGATATTATTTCACCAGTCACAGGTTCAAAATTGGGCTTGCAATGGACCCGCAGGTTTGACGCACAATATACTAAACCAATCTAAACCATTCAATTTGGGTGGCGTCATAAAGTTTCTATGAGTCATATGTGCCCAAAAGTTCTTATTGCTTATATTATTATATTCATATACATTCAACTTCTGCCTGCCTGGTCAAGGTCTGTCAAAGTTAAGCTCGTGACTGTGGGTATTGAAAATAGCAACATCCAGGATCCAGCATCCAAGATCATCTAGCATCCAGCATCCAGCAAGTGATATTTGTGTCACACCATGGTAGCATTTTTTTCCAGGTCGGCTACACTGTGGAGACGCTGATTGAAGGTCGAAACTGCATGGAATCTTGGACGGGTGATGGGAGAAGTGGCCAATCATACGGGCTTCTTAAGGGCTTATTAACCAACAGCAAATGATAAGGGCTTATTAATCATCTACTGTTGGTTATAATATATATATAACTAACTATATATACATTGGGATACTGGTTTCAACACATTGTTTATTTTCAAGCCTAGCAATCGAATGATGAGCCCAGCTGTCATATATTTTTCAGGTTGAAGCTACCAACCAGACATGGTTTCGGTAAGAACTTTGATTGCCACAAGAACCAGAAGTGGGCTGCCAGCAATGGACAATGAATTTCAGGCCCAGAACACCTGTAGAGTGTGGCCCATGGATTGTGGATGTCACCATTCCATGGACTTTTTGTTCTGTACCCAAGCTTGATTTGGAGCCCAAATGGCAAATTCCGTTTGATTCCGTTTGTTTTTTTTAGAAATAGCGAGATGTGTTGGGTTCAACACATTTTTTCCCCAAAAATTGTGGTTGTTCTTTCACCATGTTTTCCACGGTCAGCGCTGTCGTTGACGAACATGACGGCCATTCTTGGCCAAAAACTTCTGCGCTATTTCGCCGCGGCTTCTCATTATCAATCGCCCTTCTCTTTCGGGGGACAGTTTACCCATGTTTACCCAAAAAATCCGAAAAATAGTTCATCCTATCTAGCGTTTGTGAAATCTTATCATATAAATTCATATAATATAGGTTGATCAACCCATGCTTGCGTCCATATTTGGTGATGAATGCCAACTCAGCATTGCTGGTGCAGCCATTATGGATGTAACAACCTACAATCTACGGATGTCTACGGGTTATATCAGCAGGTTTTTCGTTGCAGATGATCATCCAATACACATCAACTGTGTCAATATGCCTAGGGTCCACCCTTTTCCGAGGGTACCACATGCAGGCCCCATTCATCCACGTAATTTAGCTGGGAATTGTATTTTAAGGATTTTTAAGGTACTTTTCTGTTTCAGAAACACTCAAGTGCATGTTTCTCGAAATTGGGATGCACCTTTTCAATGAAGCGTTTCCCTGTAACCATGACCCCACGAGTAACAGGACGCATTTGTATATATTTGTATATATGTATGTATATATGTAATTATATATTATAGCCCATTATACCCCATTCTATCCGCCATAAAATCTGCTTGCGTTTCCATCCAATAGCCGCCGGACATTTGATGTATATTCAATAATTTATAGTTATGTTCCCATTATATCCCCACAAAATTCTAGATCTTCTCTCCCCCCATCGAAGCCGTTGAGTTTTTCCATGAAAAAACCATTCGAAGTGAAATTTCCGCTGCAGGAAATTTGTCGAACGAATCACCAACACTTCAAAGACATGGCCAACCTCCGCACCGTGGCCATTGGCTGCTTGCGTGGCCTGGACAAGCTGTGCCAGGCTGGGGTGGTGCACTGCGACATGAAGGCGGGGAAAAGCTGGGGACATCATGGAAGAGGTGGAAATGTGAGGTCTATATCTATATATATATATATGATTATATATATAGATATTATACGTAATTATATATATAATATGTATATATATATATAATATGTACATATATATATAATATGTATATATATATATATATGACGGCCAGTATATATATATGTATTCGTATGTATTAGATGTTGAGAATTATATGATATACTGTACTGATATGGTATCCTCGATGGGTATAGTGCTGTTTCCTGAAATTTGGATCCATGGTTCATGGAGCTATGAGCCAAGTGTGATAAGGCATTGATTTTGGTTGTGTGATTGACGATGGTCAATGACAGTTGAGGATGGCCAATGATGCTTTAAAGGAGATAATGATAGTTCCGTGATAGGTAGCTCATGTTACCTGTCTTTACCATTTTTTTTGCTAAGATTGGGATGATCTCGACATTTTTTGATCTCAGTTTTGTTGCTGAAAAACCACGCCGTTTTTTTTGTTTGTAGTTGGTGCTATCAACACGTTGAAAAATCACGATTTTTCATGGGGATTCAACAGCCCATTTCAGTCCCAGTTAGATGTGGATCCATCGAATCAGGAAGATCCCACTGATCTGCTGGGTAAATTTCATCACGACCTCACTGTTCGAGCCCTGGAAATCATGGTTAGTAGGAGGAATCATCCCCAAATGGCCGAAGCATTCAGGTTAGTGAAATATGATGATTTACCCAGATGAATCATATAATTTCTTAAATGCCGTTCCTTCGCCATGTTTTCGAATGGGAAATCTAAACACGCGTCAGCGAAGATCTACACCGTGAAACCGCAGGCGGACAACTTCATGTGGACCAAAGGTCCAGATGGCCACACGGTGGTGCGCATCGTGGACTTCGGTTGCTTGGCATCTCCGAGTTCAGTCCGCAGTTGCAGAAAGCGTTTCGTTGAAATCACCATAAAATCACCATAAAATCGCCATCAATGGGTGCTATAAACCATCAAATTACATATAGGTTTATCATGGTATTAGCGCATTGCACTACAAAACAGTAGCCTGGATTTTGTCCGGACATTGGTGAACTATCTCCCTTTGCATCCACACTTTTCCCAGCCGCTTGTATGACGCATGAAAAAATGCCTCTTGCCAATGACCATCTGCCACAATGAAAATGGTTACGTTTGCGTGTCCATAGAATTCCACAATCCACATATCATGGTGGGTTGATGTTGGTTGAAGGTCCTTCATTTTTGTGAAAAATCCTCGATTTCTTGTGAAAAATCACCATTTTATGGCTTGCATTTCGATGTTTATGAAACGAGTAGATCTTGGCCGAGATGCATGGCACGGAAGGGTGATTGATCTTCACTGACTGTAGTTGCGGTGAAACTTGCGTCCCACTGCGTTTTCAACAAAATCATTCAACATAACCTAAAACAATGACTGCATAGATGCAGCGTCAGCAATATGATTCCTAATTTTAGAGCCATAAAAACACCGAACATGAAACGAAACAGATGATTGCTGGCGCACAGCGTCCCATGCTGATTTGCATAATTTTGCACTGACTTCTGTGACTTCCTGAATGCGCAGCGTCCCACTGTGATTTGTTTTCAAACAGACGGTGCACTGACTTTCCCGACTGGGTGTAACATAGCCATGGAAAATCACCATTTTTAATATAGGTAAACCATCTATTTCTATGGGCCATGGCTTCCATGGCTATGTTAAATAACCAGAGGGTACATCCAACAAAACATCCAACACTTCCAACACTTCCAACATCTTCCAGGATTCCTCAAATGTTTCACGAGGACTTCCCCAATTCGGGGATGATGGGGACAGCTCAGGTTGTTCGCGCCTGGACAGTCGCCTGGAAAACGGCCGAAACTGGGCCTTTGCCGAAGGTGGTGCAGGCCGCCATGGTGGAGCCTTTTTTCTGGTGAATGACATTGCAACCATACTATGAGGCACTATGATACTGTGATTCTGATAATTCAATAAAGATATTGCAACTAGTTGTACTGCGGACAACGGAATGATATTAGGAATGATATTAGCAATGATAAATGAGTGTTTTTTTTGCCAAAGATCTGCCAGGACACATCGGCAAATGGGCTCCAGAGATGATGTGCCTTGGATGCCTTGGGTTTTTTGCGAAGGTGCAGAGTATGAGTCAACTCGCTTGCCAAAAAACTGAGTACGTATTCACGCACACACACGTATATATATATATATAGTATATTAATATATAATATGATATGATATGTATATATATAATATAATATAATATAATATAATATAATATAATATGATATGTATATATATAATAATCCCTTCCTCCTATTACTAAACGTCCCCCAAATACTAAAAACAGGGGTCCATCTCCAATTTCGGAAAATTTCAGATTGGCCAATTTGACTTTTAATTGATCCCCTTTTTGAAAACAATTTAAAAATAAAGTGACCATTTGTATCCATTTGTGGCTTTTGTCCCCTAATAATGAAAACTAGTTAACCCCGGGGTGTTTATTATTGGGGTCCGTCCGAAAATTTTCAGTTTTTTATATTAGGGCTTTTAATTTATTATTAGGGTCCGCTTCGAAATCCAATTTTTGGCAATATTTTCATTGCGTTATATAAGGAAATTTAATTGATTTTGAAATCGAACAAACTAGTTTTTATTATTAAGGTTTTAATTTTATTAATAGGGTCCGCTTCGAAATCCAATTTTTGACACTATTTTAATTGCGTTATATAAGGAAGTTTAATTGATTTTGAAATCGGACAAACTAGTTTTTATAATTAAGGTTTTAAATTTATTAATAGGGTTCCCTAATAATAAATACCCACCTAATATTAACAAATACCTGAGGTGTTTATTAATAGGGGGAGGGGGTTAGTATTAGGAGGAAAGGATTATATGATATATGTATACATAGAATACTATTATATATAATTATACACATTCTAATTATATATATATACACTAATATATACTTGTATATATTATACTATATATATACTAATATATACTAATATATTAAATTATATTATATTATATTACATGATATCACATTGATATTATATTATATTATACTATATTATATTATATTATACTAGATTATATTACATTCTATTGTATTATATTATATTACATTACACTACACTACACTACATTATATTATATTATATTATATTACGTTATATTACATTACATTATATTGTATTGTATTGTATTGTATTGTATTATATACTATATATGTACACAGTTTAATGCTAGACGTATCTAGAAATTGCCAAAATGACTGCGTAGGTTGGGAATCGCTGTGACGCCTTTTACCCATAGAAATCCTAAGTTTCTTTTCAGCACTGGATAGCCAATCCCATCAGAATGTCGCTGGGGTATCACCAACTCCAAAAATGGCGACCCAGCGGCTGTTCGGTTCCATATCCGAAGTTCTTGCATGACCATGTGTTGGTTGTATGATGTTGTATGTTTATTCGTGCTGCTTCGATTGCCATGTTTGTTTGTGAAATCCCAACCCTGGTTTAACGAGTGACGATTTTTGTTCGTAAAAACATATTCAAAAAGCCTTTGTCATTTTGAATGGAGAGGCAATGGCTTGGGATATCGATATCCCATATTTACACACGCATATGAGTTTATTTGAAAATTATGGAAATCCCATCATAGTCCATAAAAGCCTCATGTTCCATTTGGCAACATTTTCTCATCAAGCAGCATTTTTCGAAAATGAGATTGCAAACCCCCATTCCAATCCATTCCACTGCTTAGAGGCCTCATATGTTCATATATTTTCAATCATACATATTTCCTATGAAAATGTCATAAAATGTTCATGTTCGAAATGTCACAGCATTTTCCCCATTCACATGGAAATCATGACTGGGGGTTTCCATAGTCATGGGGATCGCTGGTTGGGTGAAATATTTATGGAAAATCCTCTGGGAAAAGCTGGGATGATGACTGGGGGTACCCCCATGACGACTGGGAAACCTCCATGACTTTTCCACCGCCACTGGCCGCCACAGGTTGCGGTTGCCCATCACCGATAAGGCAGACGTTTGGGGTCATGCCGTCGCCCTGCTGGAGCTCTACTCGGGCCGTGTCTTGGTTCAGAATGGTGGGCAAAACACCAAGATTTCACCAGCAAAAGTGGTGAACTATCCATATTATGTGCGTTTTCACCATGAAAAATGGGGATTTCACATGATTTAACCCATTATAAATGGCTGAGAAATGTGGATTTGACCATGATACATGGATGAGAAATGGGGATTTCATCATCACAAAAGTTCCAGGATCTGACCCCAGATGGATCTTGTTGGTGGGTTGCTGGTCATATCCTACCATTGAGGCATATTGATGATATGGATTTGGATATTACTCCAGGAAATTGGAGATTCACTACTAGAGATATGCGTATATCAATGGATATGTATATATATATATACACATATGATTATATATATATGTATAACTGATAAATGATGGATAGAATCTTCGATTGTGGTGGTTATACTAAGTGGTTTATTGGGGAACAGCCACTTCTACTGGAATACCCATTTGCCAGCAAGTATTTCGTGGGGATGGGATAATAGGGGTATTTTTCATGTTTCAGATGGATATGTGAGACATGTGACATATGGGATGAAAACTCATATGCTCACGGCTGCTCACGTATGGGATTCAACCAATGAAAAATTCAGACTTAACATGACTTAACCATAAATAAGATATGGGATTTAGCAAGAAACATATAGATTTAACCCATGAATGTTTGTTGGTTCACATCATATGTCCAAAGGGACGCGACCAATAATGTTTGGAGCAGATGTTTGGTACTTAAATAATTTAAATATCCCGATAACGGGATCTATTACAATTTTATGAGAATAATATCATGTGATCCGAAAATGGAGATTGAACTGATGGAAGCATTAAATGATATGAAATGTAAGCGTTTAATCAAAAATTGGTACGCCATGGGATGAAACGGGAGATCTACTGTATCTATAACCAGCAACATGATACAAGGGTGTGTCTGAAAATGGGCTGAACCACCAGAAAATTACATTTCGCATAGTAGGAACATGGCGTTTGAACCAGACTTTTTTTTTCTCGGGGTAGGTGAGACAAAGCCACATAGCTGGGTTTGGTGATAGCCACTCAAACTGGGGATGTACAACCAACCAATCCAACTTATTCGGAGATTTTATGCAACGAGATATGCGTATCGATGGGTACCTGACCGTCGGATAGATTGAAGGTGCCATTTAGGACACGTGCCATGGAAACCATATATTTTTGTGATCATAAATCATCTACAAATGGGCCATTTTCCATAGCTATGTTAAATAGCCAGAAGGTATCCGGAATGATTGTATCAATCACCATCGATTGTCCTCAACAGTGCTGGACAATGCTGCTAGATGTATTTAGTCAGATGATTTTCATATTAAAAACGGATTATTTTTTCCATTTCCATATTTGTCTACCGGGAGGTGATAAACTAAGTACCAGTGCCATAAACTTCAAGTGGAGATTGTTCTCAATCCAACCATATCTAACCCATTTCTGGTATTTGTTGGTGATTTCCTGTGACGGGTTTGCCAGCTACCACACTGCTGTTGTGGGCTTAGATGACATATTCAACCAGCTGGAGCTACAACCCTACCGATTCAAAAAACTTTCAGCTGGAACGTCGATGTCAACAAACCATGCCAATATGTGACATGTTTGATATTAGGAGCCTTCATAACCAAGATCAAAGGACTGTTTATGTCTGGTTGTTTGGAGTTCCAGTCAGGTTATCCCAAGTTTCTGGACTTCAGACCGCAAATTTCGGTTGGCCTTGAAATGTCCCGGAATTTGGATGAGAAAAAGAAACGCCTTCATTTCCTTTGCCTTGCCCCAAGTTTGGAGGGTGCAGGCAATGGAAGTCAAAGATTCTTTTGGTTTTGCAAAGAATGCGGGCTTTTCATTGGACTTCTATTTCTGTTTTGGACATAATGAGTCTCGTTCTTCCGTAGTTTGGTATATGCGCAGTTGCCTAGAATGGGGGTAAAACGAATTCATCCAAGTCATTAGACCATTTTAGTGTTGAAATCTATGATTTTGGGGTACCACTCAATTGTAGGAAACCTCCAATGACGAAACTGACATCTTTCCCCATGAAATTTCCAGATCCCGGTGGCATCTCAGCATCTCTGGTGCCGAGGTAACATGTGGAACGAAGAGGAGGACACAGTTTCTTGGCCACAAAGGAGCTCCCTTGAAATATCCCTGGTGAGAACCGCTGTCCCAGTGAATTCACAAATGGAAAATCCATGAAAATCCATAGATCCTCCAGCGGCCGGTGGCGGGTTGTTTACGTATGGGCCGTATGGGGCGTACCGCTTTGGAGTGTTTTGCTGTTGATCATATTTCCCATGAGCATCCAGGCTTGACATTCCCAGTGTTCCACACCCAAGTTTTGCCATGTGGGCGTCAATGGCAGGCAGGTTCATTTGACTCTTGCTACCTCTTGCTCCTCTTCCTTGAGGGTCAAGTTTTCTATCTCAATTCTAGGATTTTTAAACTATCTGGGGCAACCATGTCGACCTCAGACCTCGACCTCAGAATATTCGGAATTATCGGCCTGGTAAGGGTGAATCTTGGAAAAGTGAATAATGACCTTCAACCAGTTTGACAGATTGATTCTCCAAAATGGCCATCAAAAACTGCGGATCTTCTCAAGCGTTCCATGGTCACAACCCGGACCAGGTCGAGTATATGCTGGCACAAGCCCTGGGTCTTGTCAACGAGAAGGCCGGGGTGTACGGAAACTCAGGTGGAGAATGTTTGTGGTAGTCTAACATTGTAACAGTGGTAAGGAAGCACGGTGCAGAAAATGATCACATGGTAAAACTCCTGAGTCCCATCATTTCTCGCGCAAAAGTTACTTTACTCCGAGTGATCCCCACCATAGCATTTCAAGACATTTCAAGGCATATATTCTGACATATTTTCTGTGACATCTTATCTGACATTCTATGTGACATCTTGCACTCGCGGTTGAGGTGGCAGTGCCCACTGAGATCTGGCGCTCACGGTTGAGGTCTGGCAGTGCCTACTGAGATCTGGCGCTCACGATTGAGGTCTGGCAGTGCCTACTGAGATCTGGCGCTCGCGGTTGAGGTCTGGCAGTGCCCACTGAGATCTGGCGCTCACGGTTGAGGTCTGGCAGTGCCTACTGAGATCTGGCGCTCGCGGTTGAGGTCTGGCAGTGCCCACTGAGATCTGGCGCTCGCGGTTGAGTGCCAACTGAGATCTGGCGCTCGCGGTTGAGGTCTGGCAGTGCCCACTGAGATCTGGCGCTCGCGGTTGAGGTCTGGCAGTGCCTACTGAGATCTGGCGCTCGCGGTTGAGGTCTGGCAGTGCCCACTGAGATCTGGCGCTCGCGGTTGAGGTCTGGCAGTGCCAACTGAGATCTGGCGCTCGCGGTTGAGGTCTGGCACTGCGCACTGAGATCTGGCGCTCGCGAGGTCCGGCAGTGCCCACTGGGCTCTGGCGGTCGTGATTGAGGTTCGGCAGTGCCCCCTGAGATCTGGCTGTCGTTGAGGCCCAGCAGATCTGGAGCTCGCAGATAAGGGCGTATTCCGAGGCTGCCGGAAAAAAAGGAGAAAGCGGAAGCAACTCTGAGATAAAATCTAGAGATCCTCACCTGGCAGGTGGGGAACAAACACAATCTTCTCGAGCAATCCCGAGTTTCCAATATCTGGCCCCAGTTCAACACATTTTGATTGAGTTTCTTCCCCAAAACATTCGAAACACCTTCTCAGAACAAAACAAGGACCACACTTATCCACAAAAACATCACATGTCCGAAAAAAGCTTCAGGATAGTGCAGGGTTGTTCCCTTCTATGGTACATGATTTCCCCAAGCAAAAGGACTGGGTCATTTTACCTCTTAAGACACCCAGTTCCTGGATCCGAGTTTGGGTGTCTTTGCGGAATAGTTACTTTAAAAAGCAGAAACAAAAAAACGCATGTCATAAAAAATCAATGCCAGTTTTTTGATGGTTATTTGTCTGGCAACTCACATGGACCAAGGACCCCCCTCGTAATATCTCTTGCATAATTTGGCAACCCGGGTGCCATTTTTTGAGTCATTGTAAAAGACCCCTTTGAAAAGAATCAGGACCACTTTTGGTGGTTATATAAAGCTCAATAATTGTGACTTCCAGGTCATAAGGGTACATTTTTTCAATGTTTTTAGGGAATTATGAAAAGACTAACCCTTGTTACTCGAAAACAAAATCAACCCCGGGTCACCTTATCTTTATTTTTTGAAATTCGTTTATTGTTTCAAAATGATGGTCCATCCTTCGACTGTTTACATTGGAATGGTATGCCATGGAATGGTTTTGGATGTGTTTCGTTCTTATTAACTGACCTGGTGTCTCTGGCATGCTCGGGTTATAAAATGAATCACATGTTGTGGGACCTGGGGCCTTTTGATTTTTAAATTGTCAGTACGGGCTTTGAACCTAGAGGCGGCAAACATTGGCACTATATAAGCCAGTTGTTCAAAACACATCAATCAAAGGGATCTCACATTTTATAACTCGTGGAACTATCATTTTATAACAAATGCCTTTTTAAATTGCAATTTTACAAACCCGGTTGTCATTCTATGATGGGGTTCACTGTAAAATGGCACCGCCCAGGTTCCAGGTACTATTACAAGAGGGATGACAAAGGTATTTTAAACCCAAGGTCAGTTAGTTTTTTCACCTGCACCTGCCAGACGGGGTTGCCCGAGAAGCTGCTGCGGCGCAGTCCCCTGGACATTCGCACCTTGGCATGGAGTCCCCATGGGCTTTGAAACGCTGGATTTCAGATCAGCTACTTGAATGGCTATAGCAATGGGGATTTCAGCAATGAACGTATGGTGACTAATGGGTTTTCTCATCGGGATTTTACGGGATAAAGCAGCAACGAAGCTATTAAGAGCAGGGGAGACAACGTTCAAATAGGAACTGTGTACCAACAATTTGGATGGAACTTATCAGAAACGAGTGGGGTTGAAACCATCCCCAATCGGCAGGTTTCCTAGGGGTATTTTATTGCCTTACAATCAACTTAGCTACGGGTTCACCACATTTGGTGGGGAGGCCGGGGCCGGATTTCTTTGAAGGATGTGTGATGCCTTTGTTTTTGGGTGGAGATTTAGGGGTGGAAACATGGTGGATTTTGCCAGATTAAACCAATTGTTTGGTTGGTTGTTTCACATTTCTTTCTTTTTCCATCCACAGGCTATTCCAATGGTTGGTGGTTCCAGGTTTCATGTTTTGTTCTTTTCCACCACGGGAGGACGATCCCATCTCTCAAGCAATCGAGATTTCCGCAATCCCCCAACGTGCGAGCCCCAAATGAAAGCTTGTTAACACAACCTTATAAATGGTTGTGGTTGTGGTTGGGGTTGAGGTTGAGGTTGGGGTCGTGGTTGTTGTTGTTGTTGTTGCTGCTGCTGTTGCTGCTGCTGCTGTTGCTGCTGTTGCAGTTGCTCTTGCCATTGCTGTTGTGGTCGTTGTGGTCGTTGTGGTCGTTGTGGTCGTTGTGGTCGTTGTGGTCGTTGTGGTCGTTGTGGTCGTTGTGGTCGTTGTGGTCGTTGTGGTCGTGGTTGTGGTTGCTGTTGCTGTTGTTGTGGTTGTGGTTGTGGTTGTGGTGGTCGTTGTGGTCGTTGTGGTCGTTGTGGTCGTTGTGGTTGTTGTGGTTATTGTGGTTGTTGTGGTTGTTGTGGTTGTTGTGGTTGTGGTTGTAGTAGTAGTTGTTGTTGTTGTGGTTGTGGTTGTGGTTGCGGTTGTTGCTGTTGTTGCTGTTGTTGTTGCTTGTTGTGTTGTTGTTGTGGTTGTGGTTGTGTTTGTTGTTGTTGTTGTTGTTGTTGCTGTTGTTGTTGTTGTTGTCGCTGTTGCTGTTGTTGTTGATGATTTGTTGTTGTGTTGATGTGTTCTTGTTATTGTTCTTGTTCTTGGTTCCTGTTGTTCTTTTTGTTCTTGCGAATAGACCCTTTATAACTCCATATTTCAGGTTCTTCATTGGTTCCAGCACCTTAGGACAACTCTACACGCCCTCGCCGGCCTACTTCCCAGTGCAGCGTTTGGGTGTGGCGCCCAACGTACGTTTCAAGGTGCGCAGAAACTCCAGGGATCTAATCTATGGTGCAGCTTGAGGAATGGTGGTTTCCTTCTACCAAGAAAAAGGATGATTTAATGGGTTTTCAAAGCAAACATGGGGATCCATGGTCAGTACACCCCCTTGAAAATCCGGATTTGAGCAACCAATATTTCATGCTTTAATGAGAATTCAATGGGATAGGATATCAATATGATTTCTGGAAGCAGAGATGTAGCTAGGAACCAGCTGCGGTCATGCTTGCTGAGCTTGCAAAACCAAACACGGCTTCACTGGTGGAGTGATCAAGGAAGGAACTCAGAAGAACATTCACTTCTTGCTTGACAAACTGTTCAGAAATTTTGTTCCCAGTGCTTGGTTCGCTGCACTGTCCCTGCTTCAAAGCCGTCCTTGTTTGAATTTTAACGTTTCGTTTTGCGTGGCTCAAACTGCAAGCAACCAGTCCTCAGAATTTTTGTTGGTTACCTGGAATGGTTTCACCTGACTCAGATGTTTTGAAAATGGTGGTTGACCCTGCCATGGGATCTTGGGATATCCTACGAAAACGACCTCCCAGCACCATGCAGCACACAAATAATCCAAAATACGGGTAGATTGTAGATGCTTGTAAGATCTTATCTAGGAATACACTACTAATTTTATAGATCTTATAAACTAATATACAGTACATCCTACGAGAGTAGGAATAAAGAAGTATGGAAGCTCGCCAGGAGTTGCGACCGGCGACCTGGGGATTGGCATGTGTCTGGGCGACGAGGTTGACTTGAAAATGGACCTGAAAGCCAAGTGACAAGTAATATTGAGGAGGGAATGATGATGAAGTCGATGATTCAAATTTGGGGTGCTCGATTTTCAGACAAACCCATGTGTTAGAGCTAAAACGTCACACCTATTGTGTGGTTGAATAGTGCTTAAACCCCAAAAACGTGGTGGTAATCATACTATCGAGATGTTTTTCAAGGAAACATTTTAAGAACCCGGGATGCAGAGGAGATTGCGATTCCAGAACTTGCACATTATATACATATAATCATATAATACACAAATATGCATTATACATTTATGCATGAATACATTTATACATATATACATATACATATATACGTATATACATATATATATGTATGGATATGTATATAATGTATATATATATATATGTATATGATATACACATATATATATACATATATATACATATATATATATACATATATATACATAAATATATATATATATACATATATATATACATATACATATGTACATATCCATACATATATATATACACACAAATATATGCATATACATACATACATACATGCATGCATGCATGCATGCATACATACATGTGTATACATATATACATATTTATATATATACACATATTTACATATACATATATACATACACATACTAATATAAATTATATCAATATATATATATGTATACAAATATATTTATATATACATACATACATACATACATACACACATACATACATACATACATACATGCATACATACATACACACATACATACATACATACATACATGCATGCATACATACATACATGTGTATACATATATACATATTTATATATATACACATATTTACATATACATATATACATACACATACTAATATAAATTATATCAATATATATATATATATATGTATACAAATATATTTATATATACATACATACATACATGCATACATACATACATACACACATACATACATACATACATGCATACATACATACACACATACATACATACATACATACATACATACATACATCCATGCATACATACACACATACACACATACATACATACATACATACATACATGTGTATACATATATACATATATACATTCTAAATACGCGGTGTATATGATTTTCCATCCTACATGGGATGATCGTTTTTATTGACTTGACTAGAATCTTGCAACCTCACCATGTCCTGACAGTAAATGGTGGTGGAAACTGGGAACGAACGCGAAACAGGTTTTTTCACGTTTGCGACATCCTGAAAAATATGCACAACTCACTAACTTTTTCAAGGAAAATCGACACGTGTTTTCGTTGTTTTCCTCAAATCAACCTAAACGCATATTGAGCTTTGCCATATATCTTTTGAAAGAACCCTTTATACAAATCAGGCATTATGACTGGGTCAATCCGCATTGATGTCGAACACAGTCCAAGACTGCAAGAAACGAGGTGTGCTTGGCGATGAAACGAAGTGGGACAACACCAAGACACTCAGCTGAATTCATTTGTCCATTTTTTTGGGCTACCATAGCCTGGCCCAGCACCTCTTAAATTATGGTTAGGGATTGGGGAATCGCAAGCACCCCAGTTTATAAGTATGGAGGACACCAATGGATACCAATTTATCATTGAATTATGTATCACTCGTTTGGAAACACCGGAAACACCTGAAACAAACTGAGGGTTTGATCGGGGATTGACATTGCCCGGCCATGGGCCGATGGTGGATGCGATGATGACGGACACACTATGCATGGCGATGCATAGACGACAATATTACACACATATTTTACGATGATAATATATATATAATTATATGATATATATCTATGATAATCTATGATCAAGTATTTTCGTTGATCTCAAAAGAAGATAGAAGGGGCATCAAGGGACCAGTTTAAAGACTGAACCTGGGAGTATCACATGCAGTGTAGCAACTAGGTATGCGTTATGCAACCTGTGGTAGATCTTTTGATCGGCTCCAAATTGAGGAACTGATAGGGTGAAAAGGATGAATTACAATACCCTCCGGCAATCACACATGGCAACGGGAAATACCAATCTTGACAAACGGCCGTGATGGGTGAATAATATTGAATAATTGTATATCAAACACATTCAATATATCTGGGTCAATATATAATTGAAATATTATAATTTACCCAGATATATCATTCGAGACCAACATAGTTTCTCTATGTTTTTCGGGTCCCCATTGTGGCTTAACCTCCGATGGTTCCATAGCTTGGTAGCGAAGTGTCGTCCAAATTCACCAGCTGTTTGGGAGTGGATTCCAGCAGTCAATGCTCAACAGGTGGAACTTTTGAGAGGAATCATCATGGATCATCCAGGCTGCACTTTTTTGAATCATTATCATTATCACTACTAATTTATTTACTATAGTTACTAATCATCCAACATGGAATTCCCCAAAGAATTATCTTTCCACTCGTTTTTATTCCGATCTTTTCAACAGCTCAGGAAACAACTCTCAGCGTACGTCCTGAGATCCATGAAACTGGCGCCTGGGCCCAGCATTTTTATCCTTTTGACCAACTGGGATTTCGCAGGATTTAGCCCAATTTTTACCATAATAAACCAATTCCAATATATTAATAATATACTAATAAATTCAATAAACCACAATAAAGCTGCAGGTTTTTCACTGAAACAGGAGGATTTCAAATGAAAACGAACGGGGCCTCAAAATCATGGCCGGAAAAAAACAATAAAACCATGGGTTTGAGTCAAAAGGTCAGACAGAGGGATCCACATGTGGGGTCAGTTTCCGGATCTAGTTGCAAATGTGCTGATTATCCCAGTCACTCTATTTTGTGTGTCGCTTTCTCCCCCTAATATACCGTTAACGTTTGTATCAAAATCCAATGTTTGTCCGTTGCATGTCCGTTGCTGTTGCTGAGTACTCTGCAGTTTCAGCCCCATCCAGAGATATTTGGTACTTGTATTTATTGCATAGCAATTCGTTGAATACCCACCCTGAAATCTCACTTTTTGCCGGCTAGATCCAATTATTTGATGGTTAAGTGTAGCTTTTTTGATGCTTCAATTTAACTTGTTTGATGTTTAGATCAAACTGTTTTGATTCATGAATGCTGCTAAATGAAAGTGTTTTGATGCTTAAACTCCAACCCAATTTGATAATTCAATTAATTCAATCAGTTTTTCATGGAGCTTTCCTAAAAAAATATGGCTACCCCCAGCGATCATCGATTTTAAAATAGGATTTTCCCATGTTTTTTTCACCAGCGACCGAAGAAAACAGCTCCGAGGATCCTGAGGATCGCCCCCATGCGGTCGACCTGACGCTGGGATATATGGTGTGCCATGGATCCCATCAAGAAAAAAGCCCATGGCAATGTTAGCAAAAATTTCTACCAGCACCATGGATGGATCCTGCCTATGGGGTATGATTTTTTTGTGTTTTTTTTTAAACTAGAATGTTTATGAGTGAATTAGTCGTTGATGTTCATGGTGCTTTGAGGTGCTTTGTTTCTGGTTGAAACGGCCAGGTCCATGGAAAAACTGGCTGCAGAATGAATGTGTGTCTTGTTCTCCAAGAAAGATGGGGTAACCAACCAACCTGGGGATCTCTCCAACCAAACTGATGAGAGATGAGGGTTTGAATCAGGAAAACTGCAGATTTTTCACCAGCAGTTTTTTTTTTTACTATGTAAGTCGAAACGGAGATCCTAGCCAACAACGATCAGGGTCTTACAGTAAAAAAATCGAATCTAGAATCGTAAGAATAAGACCCTGATGGATTACTGTAATGAATTGGTTAGAATTGCCGAATTCCAGGGTCTTTCTTCGGCAATTTCGCCAAGAATAAACGGAGATATTTTCAGCACAACAAAGACAGCGCAGACAACCGGACCCGAGATGCAGGTGCCACCAATGTCCCAAGGTTTGAAGCCCTGCTTCCGTCATACCAAGCTCCTGATTTCTGATGAACAATGCCAGTTTTTGAGTAGAAAAATGATCAATGAACTAGCCTCCTGAAAATTAACATGGCATCCATTGGTTTTCGAAGATTTTCCTACTGGAAATTGCAATTATTGGGTTCCACCTTCGCTTTGAGGATACATTCCGTCTCATGCCAAGACTTGGTTCAGCGGAATTCGAGAGTTTTGATTGGACCCTGTGGACCCCCAAACTATGAGCTGGTTTCGAAACCCATCCACTATTGTCCACTTCTAGATTTCTATATATATATATATATGTATCATGATGTATCCACCTTTTTCAGCTATCCGTTGGCCTGTTTTGCAACCAACAACAACCAATATATTGGGGGAGCCGGCGCCGGTGAATTCACGATGAACAACTATTTTTTGGCCAATTGTGTTTCAACCGAGATAAACCAACCGGTTGGGGGTCCCATCCACTTTTTTGGCTTTGCCATTAGTCAACAATCATCCCATTGATTAATGGTTTAAGGGAACATCCATAAGAAACCATGGTTTTCACCTCCAGATTTCCCAGCAGAACAAGATCAACAAGAAGCCTCCCACTGCTGCGGCATGCTCCGATCCAATAACCCAGGATGGACGAAGACTTTCTGAACCCGGAGCTGGGTCAGAAGCTCAGTGTTGGGTCAAAATTAAAGATCTGGGCACCAGAGATTTTAATCCATATTTATTAACCATTCTGGTTGGTGGTTCGGAACATTTTTATTTTTCCATATATTGGGAATAATAATCCCAACTGACTTCTTTTTTTTTCGGAGGGGTTGAAACCACCAACCAGCATTATTAACCTTTCAATTATTGGGTGACTTGACCCATACTCATATAATAATCTCCTTAAATGAGCAGTGTAAAATTCCGATTCGTTTGGTGTGAATAATTCTTGGGGTTCTAACAGCCTATTGAAGAGGAAACACTACCATCATCTACCATCCATTATTAGAATTTCGGAATAGCCATAAACAAACCAATAGACCTGATGAACGGGTATATAAAATTATTGGATGTTATTGGGGATCCAATCCATTCAATGGGATATAATGCAGGGTAGTGTACAACTAAGCAACAACATGATATGAGTTTGTTTGAACATGGGCTATACCATTGTTTTTTGCCCCAATCCACTGGTTGATCACCCATTGACAAACAAAAAAAAATGGCATGATTTCAGGTTTGGGGAGAGTCATAGCCCACGAAAATTCAAAAAGACAGGGTGTTTTCATGGTGGACAAATCCTTTCTGCTTTAAGTGCTGAAGAAGCTGTTTTTTTTTGGGAAAACTGCATCCTGCACTGAATCTTTGGATCTTGGAAGTAGCCTCTGGTAAAATATTAAATAACTATGGGAAATATCCACCATTTTTGATGGGAAAACTCACTATTTCGACTGGGCCATTTTCAATAGCGAACTGTTAGTTTACCAGAGGGTACAAACCATGGTTTCGTGTGGATTTTCCCAACCAATCCATTGTTACTGGTGTGAATCTGATCTGCAGAAAAGGCTTCAGACCGAGGATCCGATTCGGAAAGGACCGGAAAAGACCTTGACCGTCAAGGTCAATCACAATGATTTGTTGGCTGGAAAAACAAGCAATTTCTGACTCCCCATTTTTGTTGATTTAATACCATAGGTTATATCATGTTATATCCACATCATGATTCTTGGTCGTTTTCTTAGTGTCATCAACCAAGCCAGCCAAAAAACCTCAGTCCCAAACTGGGTTGGCCGGATAACTTGCAGGAAGCCCCAACATTCACCCGGCCCGGTAATCAAACATGGCTAGCTGGGAACTTCCCTTTTTATGGAGGTTTCACAGGGAACATCCATGAACATCCTATATAATCCTACATATATATATATATATGTATAAATGCTGGATTTTCCAGCAAGCCATGTTTGATTCCTGGAGGCTGTAGAATCTGCTCGATTTCTTCTGAATTTTTACCGTAAATCGACCCATGGAGCATCTTTGGGGTGAACTCTCCCTATTTTCTTGAACCCAGGTGAGCCGGTCTCGGCCTGATCTGCAGGCCTCCGGGTTGCTGATGAGGTAAACTGAAGAAAACATAGTCCCCAAAGTCACCATAAACGGGGTGTATAAATCATCCCCAAATGGTAGGGTCTATGCGGTCTATGATTGGGTTTACCCCATTATCCATTTTCTCCATTTTCGCGAATCAAAGCAGTTTGGAGGTGTTTGGAGTTTGGAATGCGTTTTTTCTGAAATTCCTATCTTGCCGCCTTTTTCTTGCACCGCTGTTTTGATCCACTGACGGCCTTTCTCGAAGTTGCTTATCTTGCTTGGTCCAATTGGTGGAACCTCCAGGGAGCAATTCCACTTGAGAAGTCCCACAGTTCAACGGGAGAGTGACTCATTGTAACGTCAACAATGAGCAGCCCTTTTTTAACTGGGTCCAACTGGGTCCAATACTTTGACCAAGATCAAAACAAATCATCGGTTCAAAGTTCAAACCCTTCAATCCTCGGTCTTCTGGTGTGTATCCCGACCACCTCCCCCCATTTTTCCCCATTTGCCATCCAAGATTGGCCATGGTGACCATGGAGGATCGTTTCCAAGATGCTTCGTAACTGAGGCCCCTACTGGTTTCCTGATCTTCAAATGGCACTGAACATGGTGGGAAAGCTTCCATGAGATTCAAAATCACATCCCATGGGTTAAAACCTGATTTTTTCAGATTGTAGCTTTAATATGCTTTAATGGCGAATCTTTGAAGTCCCCACCCGTTACAAAGGAAACCAAATGTGACATGGATCAGGTGAAAGTCAGGTCCATCGGCAACGGGATCCCGTCGTCCTGCCGTGTGCGCGACGTGTCACGAATCTTTCGCCAATGTAGTTGAGCGGCATTGCACATTTTGGAAGAAGAAATCAAAACAATTCCTAAGGTCCTAAGATCTTGCCGAAATGATTACCTGATACGATGGATCCAAATATCTTGAGAAGAATTCCCAAATCTCTCCAAATCATCATTTACGATGAGATCATTTATTCCTAGATAGGTTTGTCCAAAAAAGGGAATACCTGGGTATCCCAGGATATACCATCTATATTCGTTTATGTATACATATATCTAATTATATTATATATATATTTATCCGTTGATGGCAATTTAAATGGGAAACAAAACATAGGCTTTTAGGGCTAGCGGCAAAGATGGGGATGCGTTCCCAGGCAGATATACTGGGATATGACCCTGCAGAGAACAGGACCTTTTGTTTGCCATTAATGGATGGAACTTCAAACCCGTGAGGTTCCTCCTTCTATTCCTGGGTGGTCCGATGCATGATCAACTTTTCATGCATGTTCAACTTTCTATTTGTACCGCTAGTTGACAAATACGTTCAGGACAAGTTGAAATCACTGGTTTGGATTGTTTCCTGGTGAGACTCCCATGTCCAAAGCATTCCAAAGCCATATGTTGGCTGATTGAAACATGTTACATTAACATTGTGTTTGGGGTGAAGGAACGCATTTTTGCTTCAGATCCCCAGCTAGTAGAATCCAAAATTCTCATTGTTCATATCCACACTTTAGAGCTGGTTTAAAGCCGAATGTCTGCTATCATCAATCATCGATGGGCAATGCTACTTGGCGCCATTTCGCCGTGCCACTGGCTGACCACTGCAGTCACCGCAGTGGCTCCCCTCCCTTCCGTTCAAGGCATTAGATGTATGGACCCAATGATTGAACCAACATTTAACAAACAAAACTGGAAAATTTGCGGAGAACAAAGGGTGTTTCACATATGACTTACCCATCAAACATGAGGATTTGGAAGACCAAAATTAGGGGTTACAGACAGTTTTTAAGTGGTTAGAAGGTTGCAGAGTGGTCCTTGTGCTGTTCGCCATGGTTTTACTTGTTGATTAGTGGTATAATGATCCTCAGAGAGAATAAACATGAATAACCAGATAGAATAGAACATAACAACCAAAGAAATATTGAATAGTCCTTTAGGATCCTTTAGGATTTTGGGATGTTTCCCAAGCCACTTCAACATCAGGATCACTCTCATTGTTGGATCCAGGCGGTGATGGTCCATAATTCTGTTGCGGCAACAGCTACTTCCTCAGAAGGCAAGTGGCAACACACACTATATGTATATAATTAATATATTAATATGCATACATGAACAATTATGTTTATCATTGTTTATCTATATATAATAACATAATACAATTATTTTTATATAAGACATTATGTTTGTTGATATATAAGCATGTTTACATTCGGAACCCAGGAAACCTTTGGCTCGGATGGCTATCCTCAAAAATCCAGGGTCGATTCACGAAGGGAACAGCCGGTAGAGGCGACCGTCTATGAGGATAGACCGAACCACCCGTTGCGCCGAGCGGTGTCGTTGTTTTAATCCTGTCAACAGGGTATGAAAGGATAGGTGATGAGAATCCGGAGTGAGGGGTTCAGAGCCTTCACACACCAAGGTTTGGAGCTTGTTCACTTGATATATATAATATAATATCTATATTACATATATCTAATATAATATATTATATTATACCCTATTATATCATATCATATTATATTCTATAACATTGTATTTTATTATATTATATTTTACATTTAATGCTATATATAAAAATTATGTGTTATACATTTTATCATATATTTTATTATATATTGTTTATCACATTATATATTATATCATATATCATATTATATATCATATTATATATCATATTATATATCATATTAAATGTTATATTATATTATACTGTATATTAATATTATATGGTACAATATTATATTATATTGTATATATATATATTATTAATATATTATACTACGTATTATCTTGTATTATATTATATTATACCATATTACATTATGTTGTATGATATTGTATTATATTATATTGTAATATAGATTTATTATATTATATTCATATCATATTAATATACTATACAGTATTTGTATGTACATATCATCGGTATAGTCCCCCAACCTCGCCGCCTTGTGAGACAGTTTGGTTGAGCCCTCAGTCGCCGGCAAATCCTGGCCATTTTCTGAGTAAATCTTTGGTGAAAGGCGTAGGGTTTAGGCTTTGTGTGGAAAATCGAGAAATATGTGCACAGAAACTACAGATAACTACAGTATATTAGTGAACAGTTAGAACATGTTAGAACATGTTAGAAAAAGAACAGCAGTTTGAGACCTAGCCGACCTAGATCTCGCTATGTTCTCCACCAAGACTAGCTACACTTCTTGCATCCGTAGGTCGACCGCTGCGACGCGACGGGCCGTCTCACCGCCTTCAGAATTGAAGGCGTCTTTCACGACCTCTCCAGGATGGTCCTTTTCGGCGCATCAGCTTTGGCCGTGTTTTTGGGGATGAGAACCAGCACTGAAAAATCGGAAAAAAAAACGAAACAAATGCAGTTTCCGATTTCTGGAGTTCCACCTGCCGAAGATTTTGGGGCCAGCTTCTGCCAGGATTACGGTTGGCCTCAAGGTTTGCCAATAACATGAATTACTGAGTACAGGATATTGGGGTATTCATGTAATCTGTAATTATATTACTGAGTACATAACGTACATATATGTACATATTGCCATTTTATCAATTTTATGAATCTGAAAAATAGGGTACATTCCATCGCTATCCGATGGTTTATCATCATTTTCCCCCTCCGCAGGCCTGCAAGAATTTGGGAAAATCTTCCAGGTGCCAAAGCCACCAGATTTTGTCCGTCTTACCCCCAGTCTATCCATGTCTATTCCATGATAAAAAATCTGATTTTGGGATAACATGGATAAAATGGCAACAAACATAACTTAAACCACATTGGTGTATTCCGGATATTCCAATTTTTTTTAAAGACTCATGTGGTATTCCCACGAGAAATTCATCAGTATAGGATATCCCCACAGACTGGGTTTTCTCCCACAGGGAGAACGGCCATCATTTTTTTTTGGCTGGTTTATGACATTGCTTTACCAACGTTATGTATATATATATATTTATGTAGATCTCCAGTTATCAACTTTACATTAAAGCATAGTTACCCTCCAGTAAATTAACAGTTCGACCCTGCCATTCATCGGGCTTGGAAGACTAGTGAAACCACTATAAATTGGTCATTTTCAGGGTCAACAAGTTAATTTACCAGAGGGTAAAGGGTTTCTACCCTCTGGTAAACTAACATAACTATGGAAAATCACCATCTTTAATGGGTAAATCCACTATAAATGGTGATTTTCAATAGCTATGTTAGTTTACCAGAGGGTATCTATTGAAAACCCCAACTATGTAAGTTGACCATGGCACGATCCCTTGGAGTTGGCCGGTGCCGAAGAGACCGTCCGGAGCGTCGTGCCTGCCAGTGTGGCGACAGAAAAACCACGTTCGATACAACAAGAAAAGGCCTGAAGCGAACATGATCAAACATGAAACAGACAGCATTTGTGAATTAGACATAATTAGACAGCAAAAAAAAATATGGATGAGGTTCTGAAAAGAATTCGGATTTCACCAACCAAACTTGGGATTTTACAAATGAATAATGACCAAAGATGACCAAAGTGACTTAAGTTCATTCCCATCCCCTCCCAACCCCATCCTCTACGAACTGTGCGCGCTGGCGGCGGCGGGGCTGCGTCAAACGCTGCGTCAAAGATGCGGCCGTCGCATGTGAGGTGCATGTGACGAGTAGCTGGTACTGCACAGCTGTAGAGCTTTTGGTTTCAGACATTTTCGCATGAGTATGGCGGATATGGTTATTTTAAGCAGCCAAACTAGGGAGCTACCACCAGCCAAAAACTTAATACACAATTAACCATGAAGGAGTTTCAAGCCAGACATTTGCGTATGGGAATTGAAGCAGCAAACATGGAGATCTAAGCAAAGCAAATGGCATTGTGTCCTACTAGAATAATAGTTTTGTGAAAAGTCCTCTTGTGGTTCTACCAAGAAAATCTTGGCCCATACCCATCTGAAGAGTCATGATGTAGTACAACTCCGTTATGCGATGGGGGAAAGCCGATATCTTTTTCGGCAGCCATGGCTATAGTTTTTGTGAACTTCTTGCTGAGACCACCAGATCTTGTGATTTTTTTTTGCGTTTGGTGGGAAAACAAAGAACCAACAGGGGCCTAAATCCAGAAATGCTCGTGTTTTCATGTGTTTTCTGTTGATTGAAATGGTCAAAAAAGGGCGCTCTCTCTCTCTCTTTATGATTCTTTCGGAGCTTGGCTGTGCGGTCGCTTTATGGACTCACGGTCACCGCGAAAAAAGAGATCAACACAGGGTGAGGCTTGGGCTCGACTCAAGGATTTCCTAGATGATTGGCTTGTTGAACATGTGGATTCTCTATGGGTGGGGGGAAGTTGAATCTTTCGGAATCATCTCCCCTACTGTGACTATATCATCAATGTTATAATGTTGACATCAACGGTTGACCAACATGCTGTATGGTGAGTTTATTGGGGGTAGTCATCAAGTCCATGAGGCCACCAGGCAGTCACAGACCAGTGCACTCTTGATTTCATGTGGAATCTGCACGGTTGATTTGTGGAATTTCATGATTTCAATGTAGAATTTTGATGAATTTTGGATCTGTCAAACCCTTGGATGAACATTTGTAGATTTTTTCGGCAATCGGATGACCTATTGCTACCCAGAAACGCAACATGAACTGGGTTCCATTTATTACGTTTTGGGAGGGTTGACCAATATTGAGTCACCAAGTGATGTTAAACCCCACAAAATTAGGACATGTACAAGTAAAGCACCATTAGTCAAAGTCAAAGTCCGAGTTTTTATGAATTTTCTCTCCATGTTTGTTGGTCAACTAGTCCATTTCCTTCCATTTCCCATATAGTTGTCATTGGTTATGCTCTGG